CTGCTTATTTACATGTATCAGGAGAAGTATAAATCTTGATCTGAAGTAAGTGATAAATTTTTACTTAACCCCCCCCCCCTCCCCTGTGAAACATACTTATAAATCCCAAATATTGACAAGTAAACCAAAGAATTTGAAAGTGCTTAAACATGATAAAAGTGCATAGTAGTCTACCATCTATATGACAGGCTAAGTTTTATTACTCTACCAGCAGCTTTATCCATTTCTCTCAAGTTGGCAGAGCTTGATTACATTGTGGGTGCCTGCCTTATTGTGCAAATCTTGAAGACCTGCCAAAGTCCTCCAGTCCTGCTGGGGGACTCCTGATTTGAAGTGAATCCCCCTGTCTCACAGTGAGTTGTGAAGATCTCATGGCAAACTGACATGGTCAATATTTGAATTTCTCTATGCAGTGGCTGAATGGCTTTATTAGAGCTCATCACTACAGAATGTAATACTAAATTAAAATTGAGTATTACATGCCATGTACTTGTGTGCTCAGACATTTACCATTATTACCAAGGAGACTTAATTTGCATCAGTCAAGCCAAAGTTTAGTTTAACCGCAAACTATATATAGGCTTACAATATTCGAGGCCTTCGGAAGTAACCTTTTAGAATTGTAAACGATCGCTAATTATGAAACCTTACCAACTTCACATTTTCTAGAGCGCTCGTGATCATGTCCGCCAGAACAACAACACCGCTTTGACCACCGCTTTCATCACGCTTGGCACTTGAACACTCGCTCGGATTTTGTTTGCGAGACATGATTTCCTCAAAAATCCGTAGACTTTTTCTTGAATTTCATTTTGACACAGTTTTTGAGCGATCCGTTCGGGTGAAAATACCGCATTTTGGAGCAAGAAGGCAGCAAATGCTTCTTGCCTAACAGAAAGTAACAGGCACGCAATCCGTGTGGTACTGGGACCTTCCGACACGATTTGTAGGCGACATTATGTGTAGCTTGCATGACAGGTACATCAATGTCGTGGTTGAGGTGCGTGTGGAGTGCAAGAAGAGGTATTTGTATCGCCTCGAAAGCTGTTAGAACGGCAACAGCTTTAGGTAAGTTTTGCTTAGTTCTCTGGTTTGTGACCTATTTTGCTGAAATCGTCTCACAAAGTCGCGTGTTTGCTGATTACACTCAGCTCCTCGGCCCGGCCCTTCTACCCCGGCATGCATGGCTAGAGCCCTTGAAGGAAGGACTGAGTATTTTATGCCTTTTTCAGTTTGATTATAGATACTTTCTGGAGAGTGCACTATGACAGGAGCCTACGCTAACTAAAGTCTACTACCTCTGATTCCCCAGCCCAGCCCACCCTTCACCCTGTAACTCACTATTCTAGACTAAGCACCAAAAATCCTTATGGTCAAGACTAACTATTAACTTAAGACTCTGATTCTTTGTACCACGTCAGAGATGCCAGCCTCTGGAAATCTAAAATCTGGAGGCTCTTTCTTCTACATTACACCCCCCCCCCCCCCCCAATTCCACACCAACCACCCCCCCCCCCCCTCATCCCTCTATCCTTCCCTCCCCCCACCGCTCAACCACCATTATAATATATCACAAATTTACAAACACTATCCGTGTACCGTGTTAATGACATGAGTGTGTTATACACAATGTTCAACTGACAACAAAACTATGAAGTCACCACAAAGACATCATGA